CCACCGGAAGGGAGTCGCCGGGGCGACCGGCGCGGAGGGTGGCGGCGGGGCCGCGGCCGGAGAGGCCGGCGGGGAGGGGGCGGGGAGGGGCGCCGGCGGCGCGGAGGCAGAGGCGGCGGAGGGGCCCGCGAAGGCGCCAGCGGAGTCGCCCATCCCTGTCCAGCCTCAAGCTTGGTCTCACTAACATAAATTTCTCCAGCAACAGGTCATTGCAGAAAACATTGGCCTTCCAGCTCTTCCATACGCTGCGGAACACCGCAACAATCGCCGTATTTCATAGGCGGGGCGACGCGGGTAGGGAAGAGGCAGGAATCATCAAGTTGGTGAAAAGATGCAAGTTATGCTTTTGAAGTTGCACTTTTGAGAGCTGATTTTCTTTTCTTTCTTTTTTGATGGGGAAACTTTCGATCTATTCATCAACCAAATGGACGTGGACTAATCCACTATTTATGCCCCTATTGCATAAAATCATTGCTCAGCATAGCGCACACTATGAACAATATAGGAGTACGGCATTGATGATTCGGTCGAGAAAAATGAAATGCAGACTCACCTGTGACCGTGAAGTTCCCACTTCAATCCTGAAGAGGTCAATTATGGTGTCCGCCTCATACGCAATTTCTCTGAGCTTCTTGAGTCGGTGGTCGGCCGCTTCGGACTGAGCCAGGATCCGGTGCCTCTCTGCATCTCCGATTACTGCCATTATACTCTCAAGTCGCCCCGTGAGGATGTCAACGTCCCTCCTGACGCACGCTGCCCTTACGATAACACCCGCCAGTGAACTGCTAACGCTCGCGATGAGCCCGTTCAAAATCACGGTGCTCTCCATGTTATCCCTGCAAAGAACGGCCACCAGTTTCAAAATCTCTGTACGGCGACAACATAATCTCTGCTGCGCGAAAGCCAACCTACTTACAGTATGCTAGCTAGAGAGCAAGGAATGGATGGACACTACTAACTGGCAGTACCAACAGGAACACCGGAGCCGCCGCTGTTGGTGAATGGGAGCGCTTGTGGATCTGCAATGGCGTTCCGGCCTTCCAGGTGAACTTTTGCGGGGTTTATCGGAGATGAGGATCAAGAATGCGGGGTTGAACTCACAAACAAAGCATTGGCATTAGCTTACCCCGCTTTGGATCAAGATGGTGTGATTTGTGTCAGAGCGCGATGGTCCTGTTCTGCGTAAGGTCGTGACTTGTCACCCTTTGCGGGTCAACTCTGTAGTCGGGAGGCTCACAAGAAATAATCGTCTTCTGACAAGATTCCTGACGATCGTGAGCCGGCCAGCTCGACCGGAGAAGTTTTAATGACAAATCGAGTAGTGACAAATGATTTATTAATCGTCAATCATCGGCTCTTGTACTACTTTTTTTTTAAAAAGGGTATTACCCCAGCCTCTGCATCAGAAAGATGCATACGGCTCTTGTACTACTGGATGGAACCTTCCCATATCTCCTCCACAACCCTCCCACATAGCAGGTTCAAATTAACGAACCCGCAGATCTGATAACGGGAATATGTGACAGCTCAAATGGGCTACTAGATATTAAGAAGACATCATCGATGTGATCTCAACTCCTATTGTCATGTGAACTCAACTACTCAGGACTATTAAGCGTGGTCACCGATTTCAGAGTCTTTTTGATTTCCAAAATATAAGAATACAGGGAACTTGGAAATAGAATGTTAGGCCATCTCCACCGCCAACCCTCAAACCCTTGCAGCCGTCCGGACTGCGTGATCCGGACGTGTTTTGTCATCCAACGCGGTCCTGCACAGACTGATCCGAACGTATTTTTTCTCGCAAATCGGACACAAACTGGGGGAGGGGGCTTTAATGACAAATCGAGTAGTGACAAACGATTAATTAATCGTCAATCATGGAACCTTCCCATGTCTCCACGATTCGCACAATGGAGGTTTGAAGATCTGACCTACAGCTTCCGCAACTTAATCCTGGGAATCTGTGACAGCTGAAATGAGCTAGATAAATATTAAGAAGAAATCGTCGATGTGATCTTAACTACTCAGGGCCTATGCCTTAGAAAAAACTATTCAAGATTATTTAGCACGACTGTATTAATGGTTTCTTTGATCCGTAGGATTTCTAAAGGACATGTGAAAGCTGGGGAATAGAATGTTACACCATCTTGTGAATACTACAACATCACATGGATGTTTCATGGTACGAAGGAAATATAATTAGGATTATTCACCATTGGTTGGAGTGGATGGTATTTTTTGCTATGAAATCTAGTGCAATTGAATCCTTGAAAAATATCCATGGATGGCAATACTATAGATCAACTAACCCATGTAGAAGAAAATTCTAAGGATTCGAGTCCTCTAAAACTCCACTGAAAATCCTTCGAGTCAAAGAAGCCCTCGAGGGGACACTTAAAACCTCTTTTTTTGAATCGAATGGGTTTCCCCCTGCCCACTACTTTTATTAAAAAGCAGAGACAAAAGCACCAAACTGGCACAGCTCATAGCTCTCGGCCACAGTCACAGACTCATAGTAGCTCCGGTAGAAACGACTTATTACAGTTTTTTCACTGAACTTTTGTTGCATAGAACACTAGGAGGTTCAAACAGGAGCACAAAGATCACATGATCAGGCTCCTAGATAAGACTACTTAGCGTATAAATCACCCCATGCTATCCTAAGCAGCTCTCCTTGATGGTGGTCAAGCAGACGAAGACATTTCAGGAGCAGTGCAGCCTGAGCATCGACGCAGAGCGCCTTCCATTGATGCACCAGCGCCCCCATGATCATTAGAAAACATTTTATGCTTCGCCCTGAAACACAAATTCATTTCGAAGAAGCCATAAGCCCCACAAAGTAGTAGAAGTAAAAATGTTAACTACAACAACCTTCTTATCTTTCTTCCAGTAGTGGGACAAATTATCAAAGCAGCATGGCATAGGTATAGCAAGAACTGCAGCTATGATTTTCCAAGTTTGCCATGCAACAATGCAACCAAAAACAAGTTGAACGGAAATTCAATTCGGCTCCCGGGAGCACGTGCTCCCGGGCCCAAAAACAATTTTTTAAATGTCAAAAATGTCAAGACAAAAAATTTATGTGTTGTTAGTCACATCCAAATGGTACCTGCAAATTTTGTGGCAAAAAGGTTAAGCATTTTGGCCTGTGCAGAAAAAACAAAATGAACACCAAATGTTACCCCCAAATGTCACCCCAAATTTGTTTTTTCACCAACAAAACACTGCTGCTCCGTTTCGCATGAAAATTATCAAGCATCCTTGCAACACTAACACTAACATCCACAAAAATTTCAGAATTTTTTGAAAACATTTACTCTTTTTTCGTGTTACTGTTCACCCGGGAGCATGTGCTCCTGGGAGCCAAAACGCCCCTCCCGTTGAGTGTTGAATGCTTTCTGCTTCATTACATAAAACACAAGATAGGTCAGCCACATGACGCCTCTTAGCTAGATTATCTCTAGTTAAACTCTTATTATTAAAGATCAGCCACCCTAAAACATGAATATTTGGAGGGATTTTAATTTTCCATATATAATCTTCAAGCTCATGAGAAATACCTCCAAAGCTAATCATCTTATAAAATGATTTAACAGAATAAACCCGAGAAGTCTCAAGCAACCAAACATGAGTATCCCCCCTACCAGTAAGATCAACTTTTTCCACCAAGCTAACCAACTCAATCCAATCAGCATATACAAATGCTCATCTACACATCTTGTGAAAGTGAGTATTAGCTCAAAGCCATCCCAAACCTGAGCGATAGAAGCATTTTGTTGCTGACAGATCATGAACAAATCACAAAATCTAGTTTTAAGTGAAAATTCACCACAGCAAACATCAAGCCAAAAGGAAATTCTCTGACCATTGCCAACTTTCCATCAATAGAAAGGTTTTGCAGCTGATAGAGCCCAGTTAAGACCCCTCCAAAAAGGTGATCCCACCTCAATTATGGTCCATAGCAGATTGAGGCTAGTATTACTATACTTATAAATATAATCTAGCAAAGTTTTCCAGTCATCTGGACGGTTATCAAAATATCTCCTGTTCCAGGAAGCAAGCATAGCCATATCAAAATCCCTAAGGTTAGGAACACCCATCCCACCAAATTCTTTCTTCCCGGACACAAGCCTACAGTTAGACAAGTAGTACTTATGATCCTCCCCAACTTTACTCCAAAAGACGTGAGCCATTTGGAAGTTAATGGCCTCAAAATCCCTAAGACACTTCAATCTTTTGATGTGAAATGTGACATCACCATTCCAAACTCGCCACCAACTTCCATGAGCTCAGTTACTTGTGCGCCCATATGTTATTTTGTACTTCTAGAAAAACTTTCTTCACTGGAAGGCTTCGATCGTAAACATACCCAGCCTTTCTATGTTGTATTTCTATCAATGCCCCATCAGCTTGTGCACGACACCCCCTCATCCCCACATGTCACATGTGTGTTTGCCGCTTGTGTTGTGCACCACAATAGACATGCTAGTCCACGAACGTTGTTCGGAAAACCCATCTATATCATGAATAGTTTTTCTTGCGAGGTATATGGTGAACAATTTTGAAATATGACGAATGGTACTAAATAATGAGATCCGATGAGTTACATAGTGGCGAATCTAGGTCAAAAATGAAAGATGGGTTCACAACAAAGGGCAATGAACTAGCTCGTTTTAAAAAAAACAGAGATAAATTTTGCCTCATCTCACTGATAAAGGAGAATAGGAACAAGGTTCATGAGGTCCCTTACGCTCCAACAAATGAAAAAAGGCTACTCTCACAGCATGATTGTGCTCAAATGCTTAACCTCAGCGAGAACCCAATTTTTGGCCTCCCATTTGATGTTTATCAATAACAATGGAAGGCATTGACGCCTTGTTGTGGAAGACCCTAGCGTTTCTCTCTTTCCAAACCTCCTAAGCCACTGATATGAGCAGAAAATGATACTTCCTCCGATCCAAATTAATTGATGCTGCTTTAGTACAATTCAAATTGTTCAAAAGAGATGTGTATATCATTGGTTCCACTTACCATGTATGCCAAAAGAGGTGTCAAATTCACTTTCCAACATTTTGGCACCGATGCCCTACATTGCTCAGCTGAAGCCAAAAAAAATATGGGCATCAGAGCAGCTACTTGCTCTGATGCCAAACTCTGCATAGCTGGCCAGAAAATCACTGATAGCTAGATCAATGGACTTGTTTATTCCTTATTTTACACTGAACGGTGCCCTACACTGAGCGGTGCCCTCCCTGGTGAAGCTGGTGCCATAAATTTTTCTTTGGGCACCGGTGATAATGCGGCACCTTTTTGACTAGTATGGCACCGGTAACATAGTGGAAGGCCTAAGCAACCCGCGAAGAAAAAAAAACATAGCGAGCAGGATAGACAATATCACGGTAAGCTATGTGGGACGGGGGTGCCATGTCGATTGGAGGGACAAAACACGTCGTTGGCTCTTCAATTAGATTTGAAAAGAGAAAACAGCCTGTGGATCACTGAAATTTAACGACTAAACTATTTTGGCTGGAGAGACGTGCACCAAGCCTTGTTGGCAAGTCAATGGACGCAGCACAATCCCTCAACAGCAGAACACAAGGAAGTTGCGCCCGGCGGACGAGCCGACGGCAGTGGCCAACGACAATCTGACAAACGCCGTCCGGTGATGGCCGACGTGAGCCCCTCCCTGAGCCGCGCCGTGGCCACTCGGCCGCTGCGGAGGCGACGGCCGACGACTAGCACGCTCCAGCCACCGGCGGAGACGGCGACAGACAGGAAGAGCAAGGTCACCGGCGCAGAGGCGAGGGCGACGAGCCGCAAGGCCAC